GCGTTCTTATTTATCCAATGGTCTCATTATAGTACACCATTTTTAGTATTTATTTATTTTTAATTATTAAGTAACATTATTTGCATAATATGGTTTACCGACAAATTCCAATGATATTACATAACTTATGTTTTAGAATTGTTCGAGTTCGCCAATATTATGATGTTTGAGAATTTCTTTGTCTTGATAATAATTAATATTCATATATACTTATTGTAAAAGTAAATAATAATCCAGTATCATATAGGTACTAGGTTTAATATATTTAAATCAGTCGATTTCTAAACTGAAATCGTTAATTTTATGCCTAAAGGCTAAGTATGGTAAAATCTATGAATACTATTATGAGAAAAGTGTTTATATAGATAGCGCGCATATTAATTTTTAATCAACAGAACATCTATCACACTGTTGTTGTTATTATATTATTATTATTATTTAAGATAATATTTAATTCATCGACCTATTTATCTATTTTTAAATGACAAAAATAATTGTCGTGCTCGTACAGATTTGTCTAAATCATACCTCTAAAAAAAAAAAAATAATAACAATAATATTTTATCAATTTGTTATTTAATGGCTGACTGTTGACATGGATAATAAACATACAAAATAATAAACACAAAAATAATGATAATTTATCTAAAACAAATCACAAAACGATGTTTACGATATTTTAAATGAACCAAAACAAGATAACAATAATTAAATGGTATTAGTTAGTGAAATATTTCCAAATTAAACGATTAAAAAAACCAGAACCATTTTACAAAATTCCTCGATACAAAACAAAACTGAAGAACAGGTTTACAGGAGATAGGTACAAAAAATAAATGTTTAAACTATGTAATTTTTTTTGGTGGTCCAAAAAATTGCATAAAATGTACAGAAAAACAAAAATTATCTACATATTTAAAAAACAGACCTATTTAATTTTTTTCTCAAAACAATGGTTCTTAAACTAGCTGAGATATTATTAGTTTAAGTATCACAATATTAGTTTTAAAACATTTTCTGTTAAAGGCTTAAAATTGAAACATTTGAAATTTTTTAATTTCTAATTTATTACAAAACCATGTTTGACGACAACATAGAAAGGAACTTTAGTTTGATTTGAAGCGGTCGACTTTACTTTTGCCTTTCGAGGTGGTTTTTACTTAGAAAAAAAGTCGCTTGTATATTTAGAAAATGTAAAAAGCGTTAATAAGCATTATTATTTGTACGTTTTTTAAATTAGAATAAAAATATAATTTTTAATTGAAATATTTTTAATTATATCATGTACATGTATGATCATCAACTTTTATATTATAATATGCACTCGTTTTTGGTGCTTTTTAAATAATTTGTTTCATTCCAGAATATAATTATCTGTTGATTGACAATTATTAACCTAACCAGCTGGTTTTTTTTTTTAGTACAACTAGATATTTTGTTTTTAAAAATATCAAGGCTAATATTATAATGCTTCGCTGTGGCGTCGTCAGTCACGATGACGGCCAAATCATCATCTATATATGTACATAAAAATAGGTATAAAACCTATCTATGCATAACATGTTATTTAGTACCTAACCAGACATTACAAGACTAATAATGTGTTCGGAATCAAATATTACGTTTTAAATACAAAAAACCATTACATATTATAGCAGCTTGAGCTATATACATAATAAGTAATATATTCACATCCTAAACCTGTAAAGCATTAGCATATTTTAGCAATGGTTATGCTAACAATATACAAAACAAATGATAGAAAAAAAAATGACTCCTCATTTTTTTATGCCTCATAATTATTATTGTTCAACGCTTGGATCGAAATTTTTGGTTAAATATTATACTGATGAAGTAATTATTATAGATCATTTCGATCATCCGTAAAACCTTTATACACATGGTGTATCTGAAATGTGTGTGGGATCTATGTGATAATGATATGAGATCATTACTCTACTATACAGGGGGAGCTATTAAACGATATTTTTTGAAAAATCAAAATTGTTCGCTTAAAAGGATTTTGCAGGAAATATTGTTGAAAAAAAAAAATCATAAAGGTTTTTATAAACTTTGTTTAAAAGTAAATAAATCTAATAGACAAATAATATAATGAACAAGTAAGACAATAATTAGAGTAAAAGAGTTGAATAAATTGAATTAACTAGTAAAGAATCGAGTAAACAAAAAAGTATTTCGAATAAAATATCGAGTAATCACATAAATATATTAATTGGGTTTATGAATCGAATAAACGATTGAACGTTAAACTACACTCTCTGTTCGGCGAGAGAAAGGTCCTGCGCAGAAACCAAAACACGTTACTCCTGTCAGAATCGGCCTCGCTATAGTTGGTAACAGAGGCGTATATAGGATTTTCTTGAGGGGGGGGGGATATGAAATATTTTTTTTGGAGCCTTATTTTTCTTAAAGTATTATAGACTTTTTTAGTTTTTTCGGGGGCAAGGTACCCAAAAACTAATAATAGTCCTCCAAAAATATGTAAAATATGGTCATGTCCTAGCCAAAAATAGTCCATCATCAAAAAAAAAAAAAAATTGGGTTTAGCTCCTTTTACCTTTAAGCTTTTGACTTCAGTAACTCCCATGTAAGGCATTTAATAACAATGAATATAATAATATTTATACTTTTTTTTATTCATAAGGTTTTAGCCGGTTTCGCCAGGATGATCCTATTTTTAATTTATTTGTTCTTGTTGTAATGTCACTCACAGGATAACAAAGTGAATAAATATCGGTATATATTCAACTGTTAAAAATATATACCTACATGTATTAGTAGATTAGTATGTCGCCAAACAGATTACAGAATGCGGGATCTGTTCTGTGTATACTTAAGTCTTATGTAAAAAAAAAAAGGGCAAGGGAGGGGATCTATCCCACATATCCCCCCCCCATAAATACGCCACTGGTTGGTAACACTGCTTTGAGGGGCTGACGATTTTTTTTTTTGCGAGGGGGTCTGGAACTTGGCCCTTTTTTCACGGTTAGGTTTTTGCTTGTGGATCAATAAACTAATTAAACTGTACAACAACAATAATTGTTGTCGAGTTAAAAGCATCATACAAAATACTCGCCATTTAGTTGGTGTGATTCGTACAAACAGCCGGGGGAAAACGAAATCGTTAAAAACAAATAAACAGGTAGGTATAAGTGTTTGTATGCGTGTAGTAACTGTACAATATAATAGCCGTGTATGTCGGTGTTAACCGAATGTGATACACGAAAAACAAATAGTATAGCCAACCCGGGTTCGTTCAAGGACTCACATAAAACAAAAAAGGATGTTATGAATTTGATAGCAATCTGTTAGGATGTAGTTACTGCGACGTACTTAATTACATAATAATAGTGATTATCCTATATGCTTAAAAAGCTATACCTATATAGGCATATTTTTTTTTATATAAAAGTTATTACATAATAATTAGAACAGAACCGAGTAATAACGAGTGTTAGGTTGGTCATAAGCGAAATTTGGGATGGGTGGGGTTGGCAAGAGGAGTAAACTTAATATGGTTGTAATATATATTATAATATGTAAATAAATCCATTAGAGTGAACTATAAAAAATGTTTTATTTTTTGGTACCTCTTGGCGGAATGTTCTATTGGATAAAAACAAATTTTCTTAATTTGTCCAGGTTATTAATAGAATATTTAGAGGTCACCGGTAGCGCCTTCGTTTAAAAAATCAATACTACCAAGCACTTTACAGCATTTTTTCAAGGATAAAATACTCTAGAAAAAAAGTGATTTATAGCATTTGAAAAAAAAAGAACAAAATTATGATCTTTTTTATACAGCCTATATTATATAATAATAATAAGTTCAAAAATTATTACGAGTACATGCAAATAATTACAAATATGTATGTACGAACAATTAATAAGAAAACATTTGTTTTTTAATTAATACACAATAATGTTGAATCTTAAGGGTGATTTGAAATGACAAATGTTCATATATTATAAATATTTTTGTTAATTAGTAATAATTAGTTCATTCGGGTTAAAAAATAAAATACCCAATTTCTGCCATTGATTATAAATATTATAATAAACAATATAATACTTATAATCAATGCTCCTATTCTAATAGATTTATTGAACATTTGGAAACAATTGTAATTTAATCAGCTAGGCAGTGTAAATAAATATTATTAAAACTAAGTAATTACTTAAACTCTAATCTTTACACCGAAGATACTGATATTAATTGTATAACTCGAATTCCGTTTGTATCTAGTAGGTATTAATTCAACAATAATATATATATATATATAAACTTGAAATTATTAAAAAGTATTTCTATTCTGTAATACTCGTATTCGAATAATTAATAACTATAATAAAGAAATGAATATTTAAAACGCTTTTACGGTTAAGGATTATTTTAATACCTTTTCATTTCTTTACTACGTATGTATGTACACAACCATATAAGTTGCTTAAAGTTCTTTTCTAGATTATAAAATTATAAATTAAAAACGATAGCCGTTCTCGCAGGTAGATTATTATTTTTCTATCGATTTTTAAATTTAATTAAATACTGAAACGTAGTACGAACAATATTTAATAAAAATTATATAATATTCACAATATGAATTCCGGGTCATTTTCCTGGGGGAATTTGCACATCCCCAGTCACTTGGGGTACTCAGATCCCCTGCCCCCCCCCCAATTCGAGCGCAGGCCTATTACACTGCCCTTTTTGGTGTTTTTCAAAGCCCGTATCTCTTATCAACAATTTATTCGCTTTGCATAATATTATTAGGTATTATACTTTTTTTCGGCTGGTTCGGCGATAACGACATTGTATAATTACCTATTTATTTTTTTTATTTACCAGTTTGGACAAGTCAGACCACTCGGCCGGTTCGCCGATCCCACGTTAGAGCGCGCGCTTCCTCGAAGTCGAAGTCGTGGAAGTTTCCATTTGCGGTAAGTACAGCGGCTGTGCTGCTCTCGCCAACAGGTCGTCACAGTCGTTTGGAATATTATTATCTATCTATCAAGTCTTGTGAAGTTTATCGCCTTTTTTTTTTTTTGAAAAGTTTATTTTTTGTTATTATTATTATTGTTGATACCGCAAAACACAATAATAATAATATTGTGTGTACAAACTAAATTATAATACACAAGAGAGATAACGTCGGCTGCCGAGGTGAAAATAAAATTAACGCTACTATTATCACGTGTAACAAGACTTTTCTGAATAATAATAATAATAATAATAATTACATTAAGCCGGTATTGCACCGTCGTCGGAGAGGGTGGATAACCGCGTTTTTTTTGTCGTTTAAACGATAATAAATATTATTAAACAATGTTACACCTACACGTATATTTGTACGGTTTTTATTCTTTGCGTTTCGACGGTCGACACGAAAATATGTGTAATCATTATTATTATATTTTGTTACCATTATCAGAGATGATAAACGATAATACCGGTGAACTTTGTCCCTTATTACTATTATTATTATATTTTTTTTCTATTTCATAGTCTGTTTCGGCGTACAAACCACACACACACACACACGGACATTTTGCGTCGACGATGAGAAACCAGTTTTCGTTACCGTTCGATAAGTAAGTACCTAAGAGGTAATCGTATGTTTTGCGGTCCGGCCTAATGGTTTTCACATTGTAAACATTTTCCCATTAATAATAATAATAATTATTGTCCGGTCGAGAAAATGAATAATAACAACAAAAACGACAACAACATTATTATAACACTCGTTTAAATACCGTCGCTGTTTTTTTTTAACACCGTTTGCTGCGCAACATAATTTTAATAATGATTTTTTCGTTTTTCTGCCAGAAAAATAGTTTTAATGTGAGCAAACGGTTCGAGTTGCACAACAAAAACCACAACAACAACAACAACAACGCAGTCAACATGGCCATCTTTAGTGGCAACGAATCGGCGTCCATCAAAAAGCCCCTCGTCGACGATCAGAAAACCGGTCCGGACAAATCCGAAGCGCCACTCTGCAAATTCAAGGTTTGTCGCGGTAATCTTTACCGGTTAGGTTGGGGCTGATAATGTTGAAAATATTTGTAAGAAACTGTTCAACTGCCGTTCACTTTAAATAAGCGCAGGTATTAAACGTACACACCGGCCAAAGGGGTTCGGTAAAATCATTATAGTCATCAGCGTCGGACTGGCCATAAAAAAACGACAGTCCGAGTAGCCTTCGAACGAGTTCTCAATAGTCGATTAATTATCAAATAGAATACTGTTGCTTGAACCTAATATAACATAGATAGGTGAATTTAAATTTCAAACGCATTCGAACTGTCGCCCCATCTGCTCGTGCATTGAAAATCGCCAAAGTTCGAGTACCTAGCCAGTAGTAGTAGATTTGATATCAAATAAAAAAAACACTAGGTATAACTTCTTAGCATTATAACATGTTGTCGGGTAAAGTAAATTACAAAACGATTAGATAAAGTGTTTATAATCATTTACGTACTGTACTCAGGTGGAAACGAACAACCGCTTTTGGAGTGTCGGTTCTAAATTGGTCACCTGTCGAAAGTTCATAACCGAAAAACAAGCCAAATCACAAGATATCAATAGAATAGCGTTCTATGACAAACTGAAACGCTTGGCCAATTGCGATAAGCCGACGGGATCGTACGAACTCAGTCGACAAGTAAACACGAGAAAATTTGTCATGTAAAACCAAACGTGTTGTGATAACGATTGTGTGTTTTCTACATTTTAGTTAAGCCACGAAGAAGAACTATGGCAGAGCGAGCTCAAAGACCTAATATGGTTGGAACTACGTGCCAGGTTAACAGACCGAAGTATAACGAGTCAGGACAAATATCTCTGCGAAGAGAGGAAAAAAATTTGTCAACTGCTCGATGAAATTATGCATTTTAGGTACAAGGTTTTCTAAAATGGACTCTTTATTTGTTGCGCAATTGTTAGATAAACGTTTGATTGTTTTTATTTTGTGTTACTTTAGTTACAAATTTGACCGGACTCCATCGAGCGAATCGTCTGAAATCGATACTGAAAATGTTGCTTCTACGGGTTAGTTTGAAATAATTGTTCTTTATATTTCTTTCGCTGTTTTAGTGGCTACTTTAATTTTTTATGATATTGTTTTATTTATTTTTTTTTAGACAAGGAAACTATTCAATGTTGGGACCGTAGTGGCTGTCTAAAGTTGTTTTGTAGCCGATGCATTGAACAACAGAATATGGCTTTACGGCAAGTCGAACAGCTCATGGAAAGATTGGAATACGTCGAGTCGCTGTTTCCGTCCAGTCGTGCATTTGCCGCTCATTATCCTTTGTACAAAAGCTCAGATTTCACTAATCGTGTTAAAGTAAACTCGGTTGTCTCAACAGAACACTTTTACAAATATTCATTGTGTTTATCGATTTCTAGGCCATGTGCGTGTGGTACAACATAACAAAGCGACAGCGTTTGATGTTGTTGATTCTCGGGAGACATTTAATGAAAGAACAAGAATTTCTCGAGCCTTCGTCCGGTATGAATGTGATAGCCAGTACAAATTGTTCTCCCAGGTATGTAAAACAAACTTTGAACAATTTTCGTGTGTCTGGTAGACAAGTCGGACGACGTCCATTTCGAATCTAATTATATTCTAATCGGATCTTATTTTTCAGTACGTCCAACGACAGCGGCAAAGGTTCTTTGACACCGTCGCCCGAAGACAGCGTCACGGGTATGAAATTATTTTATTTGTGTCCCCCCCCCCCAATTGAAATGCATTACAGTTTCGTTTGTTTGTTGTTGTTTTAGAAAAACCAGAGTTCAAGTTGAAACGATCCAGTGCCAACTACCGCGAACCTATATCGTACAAGGATCTTGATGTGTACAACACGCAGCCTATTGCTACTCTGAGGCAACATTTCTTCCCGTATTCAATGGTTCCTAACTCGGACACGTGTGATGCATCGTTAACGTACAGGTAAATTTGTTTTTTTTTTTTTAGGACCCAATAGGAATTAACATTATTGCAAAAACAATATCTTATCAGCTAATAATAAATTAATATTTCTTTCGATGAACTTCACCTCTACTTCTTATTCAGATGTATTTTTTATAGTAATTTTTTCAGACAATTCATCACTGGAGTTTTAAAAACAAAAGGACTAAGAAAAGCGTTGAAATTTCTCGACTCGCTCTACAAAAACGCTCTGCGCAAAGCACATTTAACGCTCAAAGATCCGTCCGTAACGGTAACTGGTTTATTGTATTTACCTAACACATGACGACGTTCTCAACGATCGCTTTGTTATCTAGGAAGACGAAACTAAGGAACCGTATCCTCACGACGAAGAACTATTGCGATACAATTATTGGAGCGACGAATCGCAAGCTTTGAATTTACCATCGTACAGAGCTGCTTTTATATTTTTGTCTCGTATTTCGTTGGATCTGATTCACACGTATCTTCATATGAGACTCGACACGAGACCGGAGAAGCCTTCGATCATGAGTATTCGACAGGTATTTATAAAAAGAAATATTGTAATAACTAATATCTATTTGTATACAATATATATTTACACAGTTGACTTGCGAACTCAAAGAAGGTCTACTGTTGGCCGTAGTGCATAGAAGACGGTTTGTACGTCATGTACAATCGACGCTGTGGTCCGACATGGAAAAGGACATGAAGATATTCGAAGAACGCATTTACCATTTCGACATGTGTTCCAAAAGAGTGTTGGAGGTTTACCTAGGCTACATGGAAGAGTGGGTGGTAATGATGGAACATTGTAGAGCGCAGAAAAATATCCTGGAGGAAGAATGGAACGATCTAAAGGTCATAATGCCGCATATACCCAACTCGAGGCCGTTGGTGACCCAAACGTTTTGGTATGTCTAAAAATATAACACTTAATTGTGTTAGAGGCATAGTGAAATTGAAAAAAACCCATTTTGTTTGATTCTAGTCAAATCGCCAAACAAATGCTGGAAACGACTGCCGTAAATTTCACCAACAACATATTGGAACACTCCAAAATAATAACAAATGTCGATCAATCTCAAACCAAGTAGATTTATACGAAAAATAATAATTTACAATTATTTGTTTTTTTTCCGCCACTTGTATTCTACAATTCGTTTTGGTTTCAGGCAAAACGTTTTGTCGGTGTGTCGAGAACTGCAAAGCGTTTTGGGGTTGTATCGCGAAAAAGCTTTATTGGTGATGTCACTAGTGAAAACCATTTGCAAAGACCTGATCGAACACTTTAGAAAGTACGAGAAAACCGATACTGAAACCTACACGACCAATTTACCGCCGATTTGGTTGACGATGAAACCGTTGAAGGTAAAACAATTTTTTTTAAAAAAACTTTTTCACTACCTACTTTATTTCAGGGGTTGTTTTTTTTTCAGGAAAAAGTTTTCGAAGTTTGTCAACGTATTACCGAAGTGATAATGTCCGTAGAACAAGCGTTCAACACGTGCAACAACGATAATATCGACGATGCGACTCTAGCGCCTCGTGTACGCGACGTTCTACAGCAGATGTATAAATTTGCATTCGAGGTATGATTTTGTGTAAAACGTTGTTTTGATTTAAAAATGTTGTTTAAGTCAACCTTGTTATTGAACGTAGTACACACAGCGTAACAACGCCACTTTTTTTTGTATATTAACTAAACGTAAAATTTATATTTGTTTAGTATCACAAAGAAGCGAACAGAATAGCGTGTGGTCCTTTTAAGGATCAGATGGCTATGTACAACATGTCCATTTCAAAACTGTGGATTAATTTTGTTCACGAACGCTACGAACGAGGTCGCGGGTTGAAACCCAAGTGGGCTAACACGGGCTTGGAGTTTCTGTTGAACGTCTGTGAACCGCAAAACATTGCCGGACTAAGCGATGACGATTTTAAGGTAAACACAGTAGTACTTGGCGTTGTTGGCGTCAAAACCGACATGATGTCATAATATTTTTTTATTTGCTTAGGATTTTAAAAACCAAATAGAAGACTGCGTCGTTTATATCATCGGAACGCACGACGATAACTCGGCATTATCCAACAACGCTAACCCTTTTAAGAAAAAACGTTCGGCCACAGCGATCGAAGGAATGAACAAAATCATCAAGACTGAACGATTTTCTAAAAACGGTAGGTTAGGCGGTTAATTGTATTTGTGTCGGTCGAGGAATAATAATTAGTGTTTTCAATTATATGTCTCGTAGACGTGGAACGAAGCGTGCGTGTGATGGACGCAATAAACAAACTGGACCACAAGCTCGAAGAGAAGTTGAGGTCGCAAGACTTGATCGGACACATCAGCACAACGGATTACAACTTTGAACGTGTCGAGTACATTCGCCCTCGTCCTGTGCATTTTAGTTGGCAGCGAGGCATAAAAATCGGACAAGGACGCTTCGGCAAGGTGTACACGGCCGTAAACAACGAAACTGGCGAATTGATGGCCATGAAAGAAATACAGCTGCAACCGTTCGACCACAAAGCCATCAGAAACGTGGCCGTAGAGTTGAAAATATTCGAGGGTATTGTCCACGAAAACCTCGTCAGATACTACGGAGTTGAAATTCATCGAGTACGTTATAGCGTTGTATAATATATTATATTCTAAAAAACAAAAAAATTAAAACCGAAACACTTTGTTTGTTAGGAAGAAATGGTGATATTTATGGAATTGTGCGCTGAAGGCACGTTGGAAAGTTTAGTTGCCGCCACGGAAAACGGACTGCCGGAAGGACTGATACGAAGGTTTACGAAACAATTGGTCAGCGGAGTGGACGTTCTGCACCAGCACGCTATTGTCCATAGAGACATCAAAAGTGAGTTACGGCGTTTTTTTTTTTGTAATCGTTATCGTTAATATTATTGTTTATCGTGTGCCATTTAGGCGCCAATATATTTATAACGGCCGAAGGCAATTGCTTGAAGTTGGGCGATTTTGGTTCGGCGGTGAAAATGAAAGCGCACACGACCATACCGGGAGAACTCAAGGGTTTTGTGGGAACGCAAGGTAAATATATCCCGGATAGTCTTGTAAGAACAAAAAGCAAACGGGTTGTAATAATGAAAAATTGTACTTTTTCCTCCCAGCTTATATGGCCCCCGAAGTATTTATGAAATCAAACACGGAAGGACACGGCAGAGCGGCCGACATTTGGTCGATAGGATGTGTAGTGATCGAAATGGCTTCGGGAAAAGTAAGTGGAAGTCAGGCGATGTCTGCCCGGTGTAAATATATTTTCATCTACTTTAACGGCCGATAACGGATTTTGTTGTACGTTCGCAGAGACCGTGGTCCGAGTATGATTCCAACTATCAAATCATGTTCAAAGTGGGCATGGGCGCTTCGCCGACCATTCCGGACACATTGAGTACCGAAGGACAAGAGTTCATCGAATTCTGTCTGCAACACGACCCGTGCTCGAGAGCGACCACCGCCGATCTGCTGGACGACAATTTTATAAAAGTAACGTTTCACCAAATACCTACCTCTTGTTGTTGTTGTTGATGGTTTTTTTTTTGTTTTTAATTTCGACCGAAAACTTTTTAGGTCATGCCGGAAGATTGTGTTTCGTGTCGAATATCTTCAATCACGATGCTCGAAGAAAGTCTGAAGCTCGGTTTGCGACGATGAGTGGCCGTAGAGCGTTTTCTTCGTTTTTCTTTTTATCGTGTTAATTTTTTTTTAACTATATTTTTAATCATTTACTCGTTTCGATAGAAATGTTAATTATCATTGTTTTTTTTTTATACATATATATATATACGTCTCGCCGTCAAAGCGCGCGTTGTACGTCGAACGAAAAAAGTAACGTTTTTGTGTTATTATTAAAAAAAAAATATTTATTATTTGCCGCACTGACCACAGTTGAGTTATCGAAGTAATCGAGCTATCGAAATTCAGCGACGCCTGTAAAACTTATCCGTAGAAGATTTGTTTTCGTTTTACACGTCGCACGAAGTACGATGATTTAATTACTAGCGTTTTTTTTTTTCAATTTATTTTGCATTTATATTGTATAGTTTTTTTTTTTCATACATTATTTATTATTAAACCGTGTACCGTGAACTTAACTATTATCATATATGGTTTTCTTAAAAACGATAATATTAATATTAAATAAAACGTCTGTATGCCGTACACCGCCATAATTATATGTTTGAAATCAAAAACTTTTTAATTTTATAATATTAACAAAATAAGTCTCGTATTTATTTATTTAATTATTATTATTATATATTTTTTTATTGATTTTTTTTTATACACTAAAACGGGAAGCATACAAGTATGCACTCCGGTGTTTGCTTTGCTCACAACGGCCGTTCCTAGGTTGAATATTGTAAATAATATTGTAATCCGAATTGAAAAATAGAAATAATTTCATAAATAAATGTTACGTTATGTCGTCTAGTATATAAGACGGTATGTTATTGTGTTTATATAGTTTTATATATTGATTTATTATTATTATTATCGTTGATGTTACATTTCGTTGAGTTATTCAGTGTATCGAACCGATACATCTTATTATTATTATTTATATTTGAATATACTTATCTTTGTTTTTTTTTTGTCATTAATATTATTTTTTTATTATACTTCTATTAAGGTTGATTCATTTTAATCTAGTACAAATTTTTTTTTAACGACCTCAAACGTACAAAATATATAAAATTGTGTTTATCGTTTGTATGAAAATAAATATGATAAAAAATGATTACAATTTACTATGAAAAATTTGGCCTTTGTCGAAATTGTGTTTTTTTTTTTACCATATTTTCAATAAAAAAACTCGAGTTTGGTTCACACTTGTGTGAATGATATAATTATGTAATTTTTTTTTTTTAATTATAAACTGGGCGAGGGAATGAAGCAATATCAACATCTTTCAATAGTTAACAACAATCGACGTCAATTGCCAATATGCCATTTTATTCATGGTAAAATTCAGATGTGTAAAAATGAAAATTACCAGTTTATAGCTCTTTCAGAGGACAATGGCTCGTGTACGTACGGTTGCTTACCATTAAGAGGGCGTCGCACCGGTGATTTTCAGTGGTAAAAACATTTTTAAGCAGACTGAAAATAACTCGCTTAATTTTGGTTTTAGAGTAAAAGCATCCATTATAAAAATAAAAGAAAACAATATTCCGGAGGGCAAAAAAATTCATTTTTTGAAAAGTTACAGTCATTTAAAAATGTTAAAATAGTCGATATTTCTAAACTTTGTATTGAGCGTTATACTTGGAATAATGAAAAAAGCGCACCGTCTTGCCCTACAGAATATTGTTCTCTTTTAATTTTATAATGGATGCTGTTACTCTAAATCCAAAATTAAGCGAGTTATTTTCAGTATGCTTAAACGTGTAGAGATGAAAAAACATTTTTAAATCGCTTTCAAGTATGCTGTGATAGTCCGAAAAATAAATTAACTACCAAAACAGAGTCCTAGTTATTAAACTAATAGTTACACATCACAGTTTAACCTTTAAATTAAGATTTTGTGAAAAATTGCCTATACTTTACTTCTTAAAAATGGGCGCTGCGACGCCCTCTTAACAACAAATGACGTCAATTGCCAATATGCCATTTTATTCATGGTAAAATTCAGATGTGTAAAAATTAAAACTACCAGTTTATAGCCCTTCAGAGGATGAATGGCTCGTGTACGTACGGTTGCTTACCATTAACTACTAGTCAAGGAGAATTAGTGTGTCGGTTGCCTATCCCAAGTCAACAACGGCGTTGCATATACATTTTCACATCTATTCGAAGACGCTACTCGAACAAAATTGGCTTTATCGTTAAAAAAATATAATATAATATATATTGCTTTAAATATCAAACGAACCGGAATTGTTTCTACATCACTAATGAGGGGGGGGGGGGTAGTTACCTGGCGAAAAACTTGTCGTCGTCTTGGGCGCTGGCTTTCATGAAGATTAGGAGCAAATTAAAATCGACCGGGTCCAATTCGGTGTTCAACGTTGCCGTAAACTCGGTCAATCCGGTTATGTTTCTTTTCAACGTCTCCACGGACACGTCTTCGGGGTTTATATTGAAAATATTTGCCGCAAAGGAGCCGCTCGTCGTCGGCGGTGCCAGCCCGAGGATCATGTGTATTCTCAGCGCTACTTCGGTTAAGAAACTTTCGGCATAGGTCGCAATGTAGCGAAGAGTGATGCCGTGCAATCTGTCCAACGTCTTCTGGGCAGCAATGTCGCCGATTTGTGAACACTTAAAGGCGTTCGCCAGTTGCTGGTGGAACTCGACGTTGTACCGCCAGTAATTATTATTGTCCTCGTCCGTTGCGGCCTGTAGATTTATGTAAACTTGCAAATGCACGCAAACGTACGAGTACAGCCGCACGTCGATCAGTTCAGCTATCAGACTGTGATAGCCCACACACCGGTAAGGGTCGTGTACCCAAAGGTTTTCGGTGTAAAAGCGCTGTACCGAGGCCCTGAGCTCGGCCAACCTAGCGAGTACGGGTCGCCAGTCCAAAGAGATGCCCGGCACGTTTCCCACAAACAACGCCTCTTCTTTGCCCCACAAACCGGTCAAGTACAAGTTTTCCACGGTAAACCACCCGAGGTACTTGCGGTACTTGTAGAACACACGGTTGTCGTACAAAGGCTTGAACACGGTTTCCCGCACGGTGTAGCTGTTGGTGTTGGTCAAGGGCATGCTGTAATCGAACGCCGTGTCCACCGGTAGGTAATATCTGGTCAAACACAAAGTGACGAACCTCGACAGGACCATGTCCAGATCCGTGTAACTTTCCAGATGGTCGATCACCAGCCGTTTGCTGTCACTCCACGATTGGACCGCCGAAATCTTGAAGAAAACCGACCACAGCCAGTGTTGGATGTCGCTGCACTTGACCGCATACAGCAGAGACAACATCTGCACCACGTGGTTTTTCATGCCAATCAAATCTCTGGCGAACAGCTGCGAATCCGCGTGATCGCCTCGGATTAGCCCGTCGACAATCCACTGCAATCGTTTCAAGTAATATCTCACTATAACGCAATTAGTGCATTGTATGTGTTTTCTTTTTGCCTCGAACCAACCCAGTGACACTGAGTTGTTAACACTGTTCGCCTTTCCCGGTTCGTCTCCGTACAGCTCGTTGTGTCTGTCCACCATCGTGTCCAACTCTTTCAGGTCTTCAAAGTTTACTTTGTCGTCGACCGTCGCCTGTAACACGTCACATTGTATCAACACCGCTGCGTAGAAATCCGTGAATTTACACTTACCGGGCATTTTTCTTTGTTTGTCCATCTCAAACAGTCCACAGTCTGAAACACATACAGTGATCTAAAAATGTGTGTTGTTTGATGGCTGTTGGTGTGGTGTGATCGAATTGTCCGAGAACAAGCCGTCGATCTACAAGATATATTTAGAATTTACACTTACCGGGCCTTTTCCTTTGTCTGTCCTTGTTAAACAGCCCTCTCCGAACGCCCGTGTTGACATAAACGTGCAAATGACCATAACGAGTACGATTAACGATATGCCGAACGTGTTTTGAGACATAGTTGAATTTTTTCGCGTGGAAAAATGTATTATACTTTCAAATTTTGCACTCTACGAAAACCGCCTTTGCCGACACCTAGCTGCTCTACTCGCCGTTTAGTGTATACACACTTAAATAAACATTGTGTACATTTCGGTAAATCAAATAAACCATATTGTCTTAGGTGCTTGTCGTTTACACACGGTTGGGGTGAAATTTGCAAAACGACGTTTCGTATTATGTTGGACTCAATTTTATGGGTATTAGTGAAAATCTGGTTTTTTTTTCTAAAGAAATTTCCTAAAAACACATATTTTGTTCTTAATAAATACAAACAAACATATACTCCTATACAAAGCCGAAAGAATAATACCTACTCTGAGTAAAATTGTTTTTTATTGTTCTAAAACGGTTTTTTACGCATTGACGTACAATCTTTAATTGAGATTATTTAAATTGCCATATTAATTAGGAAGTCACAGAAAAACTACAAGTACCTACACCGATAATCTTATAAGTCGTGTACTTGGATAACCCCTTTTGATAATAATCAGAGAAACAATTAGTGACAATATTTTACCAACGACACAATAATTGTACCAAAAAAAAAAAAATTGTGTACATTTTGGCACCATTGATAAAGCCCAGACCTCACACTGTACATATTGCTGATGGTGTGATAAATTAGTAAAAAAAAAAATACAATTAATTGGTTTTTTCGTGTTTTATTTTTATTTTTTACTAGTAACAGCCCCCAACATGTTGTTCAGTTAAAAAACTTACCATGGTCCTGGGCGCTGGCTTTGATGAAGGTTTTGACAAAATTCAAATCTATCGGGTGGATTTCTTTCTTGAGCGTTGCTGTAAACTCCGTCAATCCGGCTATGTTTTTTTCCAGCAACTCTTTGGCGGAATCTTCATCGTGCATGTCCATTATGTTCTCCGCAAACGTCACGCCCGTCGGCGGCGCTACCTCGAGGATTTCATGTATTCTCGCCGCTGCGTCCCTTAACGAGATGTAGGCTTTGGTCTCGCTGTAGCCGTATGTGAAGTCGGCCAAATTGTCCAACGTGTTCACGGCCAAATTGTCGCAGAGATAAGAAAATTCAAAGGCGTTCGTCAGCTGGTCGTGGAACCGCTGGTTGCGGTTCTGTACATGGATAACGTCGACAACAGTGACTCCGTCATCCGCGTCACTGTACATCAGCGTGATGTAAACCAGCAAATGCACACAAACGTACGAGTACAGCCGGACGGCGATCAGGTCACTATCAGAATGTGATAGCCCACGCACCGGTAAGGGTCGCGTGCCCAAAGGTTTTCGGTGTAGAAGTCCTCCATCAAAGTCTGGACTCGGCCAACCTAGCTCGTACGGGTCGCCAGTCCAAAGAGATGCCGGGCACGTTGCCCACAAACAACGCCGCTTCTTTGCCCCACAAACCGGTCAGGTACAAGTTTTCCACAGTAAACCACCCGTGGTACTTGCGGTACTTGTAGAACACGCGGTTGTCGTACATGGGCTTGAACACGGTTTCCCGCACGGTGTAGCTGTTGGCGTTGCTGAAGGACATGCCGTAATCGAACGGCGTGTCCGCCGGCAGGTAGGATTTGTGCAAACACAAAGTGATGAACCCGGACAAGACAGTGTCCAGAGCGGTGAAACTGTCGGAATTGTCGATCACCAACCGTCTGGTTTCGCTCCACGATTGGACCGCCGAAATCTTGAAGAAAAACGTGTACAGCCAATGTTGGACGTCGATGGAATTTAACGCATACAGCAAAGACAACATCTGCACCACGTGGTTTTTCATGCCGATCAAATCTCTGGTGAATTGTCGCGAATCCGCGTGTTCGCCTTCCGTTAGCCAATCGACAATCGACCTCAATCGTTTCAAGTAATACCTGACTATAACGCAGTTGGTGCATTGTACGAGTTTCAACTTGGCCTCGACATAACCGAGTGACTCCTGAGCGAGCAATAAGTGCGCCTTTCCCAGTTCATCTTTGTACAGCTTGTTGTGTCTTTCCACCATCGTTTGAAATTCTTTGGAGTCGTCAATGTCTATTCGATCGTCGAACACAGCCTGAAATACACGTGCTCTTATTAACGCCGGGATCTAAAAGAGTGTGATAAAATTGTTCGAGAACAAGTTTGTCTACAAGGTATACTTAGAATTTACACTTACAGGGTCTTTTCCTTTGTCCGTCCTCCGTGCCGCACAACAGCCCTCTCTGAACGCCGGCATAAACTAGGCGAGTAAACTAGATATTAGAGCCTGTTGTGTGATAAAAATATTGTCGGTCTACGAGGGTACTTAGAATGTACACTTACCGGGCGCCCATCATTGTTTGCCGTTCTTAAAAACTTCACTGCGAACGTCGGTGTCACATTTGACATAAACGTGCAAATTACTATAACAAGTACAATTAACGATAATACGCTGAACGTGTTTTGAGACATAGTAGTTGTATTGTTTAAGTGGAAAAAATGTATATTGTATTTTCGAATTTTGTGCACTATGAAAACGCATTGAATCGACATTAGCCAGGTACTGCTCGTTGTTCGGTATATTATATGCACGAGTAAAAACTATTTAAATTTCACTAAACACAAATATTTGCAAAACCACGTTTCCAATGTTAGAGCAAACTGTACGGGATATTAGTAAAGACATTTCTGTAGAGTGCGTTGTTTATACAATGTTTGGCGATATTTGTAAAACGCCGTTTTAGGTAAATCTAAATCGAGTTGTTTTTGCATAATACCGACTGAGTGAAAAAAAAAACGTGTGTGCTAAACAATCACAGTATCAAGAGCTAGTTGAGAATAATTTTGTCTAATAGTTGTGATGATAGTAACTTATCGGAAAACATTATGTTTTTCCTATCAGTTTTGATGGATAAGTGTAATATTATACAATCCTAGTCCACTGATAATGTTTATTATTAGTGAAATACTTCTTTTGTAGAAAATGGACAATATACTACAACCCAATTGGCCGTTTGAAAGCAGAGACGGTTGTAGACCAAAACTGAAACAAGAACGGTTTGCAAACCTGTCACCGTTAAACATCAACCCCATTGTATTGTCGAGCTTAAGTAGTTGGGCCTAAAAAAACACGGTTAATTTTAGTAAAAGTATGTATGGTTGCTTACCATTAACTCCATCAAGGCGAATTAGTGTGTCGGTTGGCTATGCCAAGTTTAAAACGGCGTTTTTTATTGTTTTTCCCCACTTGGCGGTGAAGGAGTTGAATTACTTTAAACTTTTCGCACCCTGTTACATCTTTAAACATGCTTTAATTTAAATAACCATTAAATATAAAATTACATATGGCTTGGTGAAAAAAAAAACGCGTATTTGAATAATCATACAAATTTACAATTGGGTTTTGGAGTAATTTCATGTAATATTTTTATTTTTCAAAAGTTTATGGCTGAAACGGAGGTGCTAGAACCTCTGTGTTCCCTCGCCCTCTTAAACATTATGCCTATGCCAGACCGGATAGGTGTTGGTGACTGATGTCATTTAGCGAAAAATTGCACATGGTCTTGGCGGCTGGCTTTCATGAAGGTTTGGACGAAATTCAAATCTATCGGGTGGATCTCTTTCTTGAGCGTTGCTGTAAACTCCGTCAGACCGATTAGATTTTTTTCCAGCAACTCTTTGGAGAAATCTTCAGCCTCTACGGTCATAATACTTTCCACCTGTTTCGGCGCTACTACGACCAGCAGCTTATGTATTCTTGTCACTACGTCCATTAACGCCGTGTAGGCGTTGTTCACGTTGTAGTCACACGTGATTTCTAGCAAATTTTTCAACGTGATTTTGGCAAAACGATCGCCAAATTGTGAAAACTTAAACGCCTTCGAAAGTTGCTGTTGGAACCGCGTGTTGTACTCCCTGTAATCGTTCTGCTGACCGTCAGCCGTCGGTTCATCGACAGTGCCACAGTTCTGCAATGTGATGTAAACGTACAAATGGACACAAACATAAGAGTAAAGTCTGACGTCGATCAGGTTGGCTATCACATAGTGATAGTGTCCGCACCGGTAAGGATCGTATACCCATTGGTTTTCGGTGTAAAATTCCTCTATCTTGGCCTTGTGCTCGGCCAACCTAGTTTGTACGGGTCGCCAGTCCAAAGAGATGCCGGGCACGTTTCCGACAAACAACCCCGCTTCTTTGCCCCACAAACCGGTCAAGTACAAGTTTTCCACGGTAAACCACCAAAGGTACTTGCGGGTCTTGTGGAACACACGGTTGTCGTACAAAGGCCTGAACACGGTTTCCCGGATGGCGTAGCTGTTGCTCTTGGTCAAGGGCATGCCGTAATCGAACCGTGTGTTGACCGGTAGGTAAGATTTGTGCAAACACAAAGTTATGAATCCGGACAGGACCATGTCCAGATCCGTGTAATTTTCCAGATGGTCAATCACCAGCCGTTTGTTTTCACTCCACGATTGGACCGCTGAAATCTTGAAGAAAAACGTGTACAGCCAATGTTGGACATCGATGGAATTTAACGCATACAGCAAAGACAACATCTGCACCACGTGGTTTTTCATGCTATTCAAATCTCTGGTGAATTGTCGCGAATCCGTGTGATCGCCTCGGATTAGCCCGTCGACAATCCACTGCAATTGTTTTAAGTAATATCTAAGTATAACGCAATTAGTGCATTGTATGTGTTTTTTTTTACTCTCCTGAAATCCGAGTATCTTTAAGTTATTGATACTTTTCGCCTTTCCCGGTTCGTCTCTGTACAGCTCGTTGTGTCTGTCGACCATCGTATCCAATTCTTTCAAATCATCAACGTATATGGCATCGTCGATCACAGTCTAAAACAGGTACACATTAATTGCACTGTGGTCTCACAATATGTCACACAAGTCTGCAGCAAGCCCGGATGTAGTCAGAGTAATGCCAATGATACCGAACTTATGTCAAAATATTTTTTGATCTTTTAACGGATGAAGAATGTAGTTGGGAAAGGCTAAAAGAGAAATGGTTAGACGTAAAATTGCAGGTTGTTGTCAACGGTAGGTAACAAGTTCGATTATGTTTCTATTAATAATGAGCACACTTACTAACGACTGGTCATACTGGACGTGCACCTAATACCACCTTTATATCTCGTTTACATGTTAGCATGAAATGAATTTACACTTACCGGGTCTTTTCCTTTGTTTGTCCTTCTCAAACAATCCATTCCGAACGTGTGTTTTACACTTGACAAAAATGTACAAATTACAATAACAAGTACAATTATCGATATTCTGAACCACTTTTGAGACATAGTTGGTTTTTTTATGTGGAAAAATGTATTATATTGTCAAATTTTGTGCACTATGAAAACGGTTTATACCAATACTAGCTACTGCTATCGCTGTTTAGTCTAAGCTTAAAAAAAAATTGTTTAGATTTCAGTAAAATAAATAAACTGTATTATCTAGGCGCGTTCGTTATTTACACAAGTTTGGTGATATCTGCAAAACCATGTCTCAAATGTTAGATTAAACTTTATGGATATTGTTAAAAATCTTGTTTTGTTATATTTATATTATATTGTTACTGAGTTGTTACTGCAACTAAGCGAGGAAATTTACAACGAGGCATTGATATTAATCGAGGACATGTACTTGATGATATCGAAATAAACTACTCCTCTGAATTGTGATGAAATACACCTAAGACAATGGAGTCATGGAATAGACATACAATATAGATGATTATGTTAATGCTTTCATGATTTGAAATTATCTACATGACTTACTTATCTATTAGTTATGTTACACCATGTATACCGCGTATGCCATTTGAACTTGATATAATTTTTTTGCCGTTGCAGTAGATACACAAAAATTTTAATAATTATTCCAGTAAAAATATAAAAGCTATATAGACAGTTTACATGTTCTTTGGAGATATTATCATAGTTATTGTTAACATTTCAAAGATATTCTATTTTTGTTATATCGTTTCAAAACCCATGTAATCAGCTATCCTATCATTTTTTTTTTTTACTGATTTTCAATACATTTTATTTCCGTTTAAAAACAAAAAATATTTAATTCAGCTGCTGAAATCTGATCGTGCCCGTCTAAATATTTCATTAGTATTAAGATAAAGCCAATCACTTATTTAGAAATCTATGTATAAAAACGTATGTACCTATCCTAAAAGATACATTACCCTTTTCCTTTATTTTTAATTAGTTACACCATAAAAGATACAATGCCCTACTAGTAAAATACTTATAAAAATAATAAATAATTAGTTACATTTTAATTTTTTGTTTTCTAGCCGATACGCTAGTCACTAGTGTATATTTAAAGATACAAAATATAACAAAAAATTGGTTTGGAGATTTCATGTAATTTTTTTTATTTGTTTCAAGTGTAGGGTTAAACAGTCATATAGACTAAAACGGAGAAGGGTGCTAGAATCTTTCACACTCCTCCTGCTCTAAAAATTAAGCCAATAACGGACCGGATAGGTGTTGGTGAACATGTTATTCGACAAAAAACTTATCATCGTCCTGGGCGCTGGCCTCGATGAAGAGTAGGACAAAACTCCAATCGACCGGCTGAATCTCGTTGTTGAACGTTTTTGTAAAATCGATCAATCCGTCTATGTTTTCTTTCAGCAACTCAACGGACGAATCTTTAGCTTTTATGCTCAAAATATTATCCACAATGGAGCCGCTCGTTGGTGGTACTATGCCGAGGATCGTATGTATTTTCAGTGCTACATCCGTTAACAAATTGTCGGCATAGTGACGGCTGTAGCGATTCGTGATGCCGCACAATTTGTCCAACGTTTTCTGGGCTGCGACGTCGCCGATTTGTAAAGATTCAAAGGCGGTCGTTAGTTGGAAGTGGAACTCAATGTTGTACCGCCAGTAATTGTTCAGACCTGCACCGGCCTGGTATCCATTTATGTAAACCTGCAAATGGACACAAACGTACGAGTACAATCTGACGTCGATCAGTTCCACTATCAAACTGTGATAGCCCACACACCGGTAAGGGTCGTGTACCCACAGCTTTTCGGTGTAAAATTCCTCTATCATCGCCCTGCGCTCAGCCAACCTAGCTTGTACGGGTTGCCAGTCTATACAGATTCCGGGTACGTTTCCAACAAGCAACCCGTGTTCTTTTCCCCACAAACCGGTCAAGTACATGTTATCCTCGGTAAACCAAGAATGGTACTTGGACTTCTTGTAGAACACACAGTTGTCGTACAAAGGCCTGAACACGGTTTCTCGGATGGTGTAGCTGTTGCTCTTGGTAAAGGACATGTTGTAATTGAACGGTGCGTCCACCGGTAGGTAAAATTTGTCCAAACACGATTTTATGAACTTCGATAGGACCGTATCCAGAGTAGAATAACTTTCAAAATGGTCGATTACCAACTGTTTGTTTTCACTCCACGATTGGACAGCCGAAATCTTGAAGAAAAACGTATACAGCCAATGTTGGATATCGCTACACTTCACCGCATACAGCAAAGACAACATCTGCGTCACGTGGTTTTTCATACTACTCAAATCTCTGCTGAATTGTTGCGAATCCGTGTGATTGCCTCGGATTAGCTTTACGACAATCCACTTCAAATGTTTCAAGTAATATCTGACTATAACGCAATTAGTGCATTGTATGTGTTTTCTTTTACTCTCCTCAACACCGAGTAACTTCAAGTTATTTTTACTTCTTGCTTTTCCCAGTTTGTCTTCGTAGAGTTTATTGTATTTTTTAACCATCGTATGCAATTCTTTGAAGTCGTCAATGTATACGTCATCGTCAAACACGGCCTAAAACACGTGCTTTTATGAACACTGTGGTCACTGTCTGAGGAAATTAACAGAATTGAATGAACTAATAATGTTTCACACATTTGTGACAGGTAGACAGGAATATTTGCATAAAGCAGCAGGCCTGGATGGAGTGTTAGTGGAAGCATGGAAAAGAAAGGAAAAATACTGATGATCAAGTGATTGATGAAAGAGTAATGCTTATTACACCAAACTTCATATGTCTAGGAGGTGTGCCAGAGCGTGAAAATGATGTAGAAATAAATCTTATTTGTCATACAACTATGTTGAAATTAATGGAGACGGATGAAGAATGTAGTTGGAGAAGGCTAAAAAAGAGATGGTTAAACATGATTGAAAATGTTATGAGGATAGAGCGAATGTGGGCGTGGATGATATGACCGATTGTACTGAGTGGAAGTAAAGGGGAAAAAAGAGTAAATTAAGTTAAACGATGAGCAGAAATACAGATATTTGGAAAAGCAGACACAGAATACAGTTATGGTAATAATTAGTAGAGAAGATTGAGTCGATTAAGTGAAACAGAATGTTGTTGTCAACGTTAGGTATTAGGTTCCATTACGTTTCTATTAGTAATGGGCAAATTTACAAACGACTTTGGTCATACTGGAAGTGCACCTAATACCACCTTCATACCTCGTTTACATTCAGCCCACTTCAGTGGTAGTGAGCAGAGAAGTTGACTTGAAATATTGCAGCAACCTAACCGGTTAATGTAAACACTCACTGCCTTAGACTAGGTTATACATTCAGCCATTGCAAGTGCTCCTCGCACTGCTGTATTTGCTTCCCAAAATACTACAGTGGCAGTGGCAGTGTCACTGCCACGGAGTTGGGCTGAATGTAAACGAGGTATTGGAGTCTGTTGTTTGAATTTGATGTAGTTTTTTTTTGTACAAAAGTTATGTGATAAAATTGTTGGTCTACAAGATACTTAGAATTTACACTTACCAAGCCTTCATCTTTGTTTGTCTTTCTTGAACAGATTACTCTGAACATCGGGTTTACACTTGATATAAACTTACAAATTACCATAACAAGTAAAATTAACGATATGCTGAACCACTTTTGAGACATAGTTGATTTCTTTACGTGGACAAATGTATTATATTTTCAAATTTTGTGCTCTATGAAAACGCTTTGAATCGACACTAGCTAGGTATTACTCACTGTTTAGAATATTATGCTTGAATAAAAACTATTTAAATTTCAGTAGAACAAATATTTGCAAAATCATGTTTCCAATGTTAGATTGGATATTAGTAGAGACATTTTTATAGAGTGCGTTGTTTAAGTAAACACATTTTGTATACATGAAAAAAAGTGTATTACACAGTCATACCTTAAACAAACTGAGAAATAGGTTTTGTTCTGATAAAATAACAACTGTAAGTATCGCAAAATAATATTTTAGGAGAGCGAGAGGCAAATTTTGTGTTTGAAACTACTGTGTTTGGTTTTTTTTTTTTTTTGAGGGTTCATACAATTTGCAGATGACATCGTTTGTATATATAATAATCTTATCTTACTGCAATTACCTTTCTCGTACATTAGATTAAATTTTATGGGTTTCAGTAAAACAACGGTTTTATTATTGCGTTGGAACGAATGGTAGTTTAAAAGTTTTCTTACATTGATGCAAATAATACCAAAACACAAACATAATTGTGTAAATTCTTATTTAAATGATACTTTACTAAGAATTATTTTTCACGATTTATCGAGAACATTTTTCTCTTGTATAAAATTTTGGCCTTGTATACTTTGTAAATGTAGTATATAATATTATATTTATGCAATATAATGTTTTTTGAAATATAATTACCAAAAAAAAAACACATTGTAAAAACAATAGCTCCGCTTCGAATCTTAAATATATTAAAAATTTAATAATTCGAAGCTAAAATGCTGTTTAATGACGTTTAGATAAAAAAATAAGTTTGTAAATTTTCATGTAGTTTTTTTATTTTTGAAAATTTATGGTTAAACCGTCGGCTAGGCTAAAACCGAGAGGGGCGCTGGAATCTTTCACACCCCTGCCTCCTAAAAATTAAGCTCATGCCAAACGAGTAGGTTGGGGAACTCGTTATTCTTCAGCAAAAAAACGTATCATCGTCCTGGACGCTGGCTTTCATAAGGAGTAGAAGAAAATTAAAATCGACCGGCTGAATCTCGTTCTTGAGCGTTTCTGCAAACTCCATCAATCCGGTTAAGTTTTCATTCAGCAACTCGACGGACAAATCTTCAGCGTTTATGTTCAGAATATTATCCACAGACCCGTTCGTTGGTGGTACTATACCGAGGATCTTATGTATTTTCAGCGCTACATCCGTTAACAAACTTTTGGCATCGGTCGGGCTATAGCGATGCGTGATGCCGTACAATTTGTCCAACGTATTTTGGGCAGCAATGTCGCCGATTTGTAAAGATTCAAAGGCGATCGTTAGTTGGTCGTGGAATCCAATGTTGTACCGCCAGTAATCGTTCACACCTGCACCGGGCTGGTATCCATTTATGTAAACGTGCAAATGGACACAAACGAACGAGTACAGTCTGACGTCGATCAGTTCCACTATCAAACAGTGATAGCCCACACACCGGTAAGGGTCGTCTACCCACAGCCTTTTGGTGTAAAAATCCTCCATCAAGGTCCTATGCTCGGCCAACTTAGCTTGTACGGATTCCCAATCTATAGTGATTCCGGGTACGTTTCCAACAAACAACCCCTCTTCTTTGCCCCACAAACTGGTCAAGTACATGTTATCCACGGTAAACCACGAATGGTACTTGAACGTTTTGTCAAACACACAGTTGTCGTACAAAGGCCTGAACACGGTTTCCCGGATGGTATAGCTGTTGCTCTTGCTAAAGGACATGTCGTAATTGAACGGTGCGTCCACCGGTAGGTAAGATTTTTTCAAACACGATTTTATGAACTTCGATAGCACCGTATCCAGAGCCGTGTAACTTTCAAAATTGTCGATTACCATCTGTTTTGTTTCGTTCCACGATTGGACGGCCGAAATCTTAAAGAAAAACGTGTACAGCCAATGTTGAATATCGCTTGAATTTAACGCATACAGCAGAGACAACATCTGCGTCACGTGGTTTTTCATATTATTCAAATCTCTACTGAATTGTTGCGAATCTGTGTGATTGCCTCGGATTAGCTTTTCGACAATCCACTTCAATTGTTTCAAGTAATATCTAAGTATAACGCAATTAGTGCATTGTATGTGTTTTCTTTTACTCTCCTCAACGCCAAGTAACATCAAGTTAAATTTACTTCTTGACATTCCCAGTTTTTCGCCGTAGAGTCTATTGTGTGTGTTGACCATCGTATCCAATTCATTCAGGTCAATGTGTTCGTCATCGTCGAACACAGCCTAAAACAAGCAATTTTGTTTAACACCGTGGTCACTGTCTAAGGAGATTGACAGAATTGAATGGCCTCATGGTTTGGGCACGTCACGAGAAGAGACGAGAGATCAGCAATAAATTAACGGAGACGGATGAAGAATGTAGTTGGGAAAGGCTAAAAGAGAAATGGTTAGACGTAAAATTGCAGGTTGTTGTCAACGGTAGGTAACAAGTTCGATTATGTTTCTATTGGTAATGAGCAAAGTACACCGTATACCACCTTTATATCTCATTTACATTCAGCCCACTTCCATGGCAGTGAGCAGAGAAGTTGACATGAAATTTTGCAGCGCGAGCAGCAACTTAAACGGTTAATGTAAACAACAGGCAATGTTAATACTCACTGTCTTCGACAAGGTAATATAATCAGCCATTGCAATTGCTCCTCGCACTGCTGTATTTGCTTCCCAAAATACTTCAGTGGCATAGTCACTGCCACGAAATTGGGCTGAATGTTACCGAGGTATTAGAGTCTGTTGTTTAATGTTGATTTCGATTTTTTTTTGTACAAAAGTTATGTGACAAAATTGTTAGTATACAAGACACTTAGAATTTACACTTACCGGGCCTTCATCTTTGTTTGTCTTTCTTAAACAGCCCATTCCGAACGTTTGTTCTATACTTGACATAAACGTACAAATTACTATAACAAGTACAATTATCGATATGCTGAACCACTTTTGAGACATAGTTGATTTCTTTGCGTGGAAAAATGTATTATATTTTCAAATTTTGTGCTCTACGAAAACGCTTTGAATCGACACTAGCTAGGTACTACTCACTGTTTAGTATATTTAAATATCAGTAGAACAAATGTTTTCAAAACCATGTTTTAAATGTTAGAATACACTGCATTGATACTAGTAAAAATTTGGGTTTTGTGATATTTGAAAAAACGTGTATTGGACATAAAACAAACTGAGAAAAAGGTATTGTTCTGATAAAATAACAACTGTGAGTATCGCAAAACAATATTTCAGGAGCGTGAGAAGGAAATTTTTTGTCTGAAACAAATATTGGTTTTTTTTTTTTTTTGGTTGATGGTTTGTACAATTTTCAGATGACAGCGTATGTATATGTAATAATTTTATCTTATTCCAATTACCTTTTGACATTTTTATGCCTTTGTTATGGCACACACACGGAAAATCGACACCGGTTATCATAACGAAAAATAAAATATTAGCCAGAAACTTGATTTGTTTACTAGGCACCTTAGATATATAAAAATGTATCCCGTGGTTTTGCGAACTCGTACGCAAGCTGTTCTGCATAATCTTCCTCTTAATAATACTAGGGTAAGTAAACATTTGCTTCCATAACGAGTTTGAGACTTAGATAGATCCCTTTTGCTTACATTTTTTACAAATTATGGCAGCTTTGCTATTTTTTTATTATTAAGGAAACGCACCAAATAAAGGGTAAATTTAACCTTTGGCCGTAGTCATTTGCTATGTGTGAGTGAATCAACAGTCAACGGGTAATGAAAATATGTTCAGTTAAAATACAATTGTCTGAATTAATAAAACAAAATTTGTAAAATTTCATATGTTTATTTTTTGTTTTTAAATAGTTAATGGTTAAACCGTCGGATAGCCTAAAACGGAGGGGGGAGGTGCTAGAACCTCAAATACCAATTTCCTTATTAAATACTATGCCTATGCCGGACCGGGTAGGTGTTGGTGAACATGTTATTCAGCAAAAAACTTATCATCGTCTTGGGCGCTGGCTTTCATGAAGAGTAGGAGAAAATTAAAATCGACCGGCTGTATCTCGTTCTTGAGCGTTTCTGTAAACTCCATCAATCCGGTTAAGTTTTTATTCAGTAACTCGGCGGACAAATGTTCAGCTTTTATGTTCAAAATATTATCCGCAAACCTGCTCGTTTGTGGTACCATGCCGAGGATCATATGTATTTTCAGTGCTACATCCGTTAACAGACTGTCGGCATCGGTCAGGTTGTACAATTTTTCCAACGTGTTCTGGGCAGCGATGTCACCGATTTGTGAATATTTAAAGGCTCTCGCTACTTGGTAGTAGAACCCAATGTTGTACTGCCAGTAATTGTTCACACCTTCACCGGCCTGTAGATTAATGTATACGTGCAAATGGACACAAACGAACGAGTACAGTCTGACGTCGATAAGTTCCACTATCAAACTGTGATAGACTACACACCGGTAAGGGTCGTCTACCCACAGCTTTTCGGTGTAAAAATCCTCCATAGACGCCCTGTGCTCGGCCAACCTAGCTTGTACGGGTTCCCAGTCTATAGAGATTCCGGGTACGTTTCCAACAAACAACCCCTCTTCTTTGCCCCACAAACTGGTCAAGTACATGTTATCCACGGTAAACCACGAATGGTACTTGAACGTTTTGTCAAACACACAGTTGTCGTACAAAGGCCTGAACACGGTTTCCCGGATGGTGTAGCTGTTGCTCTTGGTAAAGGACATGTTGTAATTGAACGGTGCGTCCACCGGTAGGTAAGATTTGTCCAAACACAAAGTTATGAACTTCGATAGCACCGTATCCAGAGCCGTGTAACTTTCAAAATTGTCGATTACCATCTGTTTTGTTTCATTCCACGATTGGACGGCCGAAATCTTAAAGAAAAACGTATACAGCCAATGTTGGATATCGCTGGAATTTAACGCATACAGCAGAGACAACATCTGCGTCACGTGGTTTTTCATACTATTCAAATCTCTGCTGAATTGTTGCGAATCTGTTTGATTGCCTCGGATTAGCTTTTCGACAATCCATTTCAATTGTTTCAAGTAATATCTAAGTATAACGCAATTAGTGCATTGTATGTGTTTTCTTTTACTCTCCTCAACACCAAGTAACGTCAAGTTAATTTTACTTTTTGTCTTTCCCAGTTTGTCTTTGTAGAGTTTATTGTATTTTTCGACCATCGTACGCAATTCTTTGAAGTCAATGTAATCGTCGTCGTCGAACACAGCCTATAACAAGTACTTTTTTTAACACTATGGCCTAATAATGTGTCACACGTTTGTGACTACAGAGCAGGTTAATAGGAATATTGGCATGAAGGTGCAGGTCGAGTTAGAGTGTTAGTGGAAGCATGGAAATTTAAGGGAAAATATCGATGATTGGCGAAAGAGTAATTCTTATGGATACCAAACTTCACATGTCTAGGAGGTGTGTCGGAGCGTGGAAATTATGTAGAAATAAATCTTAATTGTCATACAATTATGTTGATACGGGAAAATATAGCATAAAAGATGAGAGAGAAGCAATAAATTAACGGAGACGGATGAAGAATGGAGTTGGGTGAGACTAAAAAAGAAATGTTTAGATGTGATTGAGAATGTTATTGGGATAGAGCGAATGTGGACGTGGATGATACGACCGATTGTATTGAGTGGAAGTTAATGGAAGTTAATGGAAAAGAAGAGTAAATTGAGTTCAACGATATGAAGAAATACAAATATTTAGAGAAGCAGACACAGAATACAGTTATGGTAATAATTAGTAGAGACGAGGTCGATGGAGTGAAACAGGAGGTTGTTGTCAACGGTAGGTATTATGTTCGATTACGTTTACTTTTGTTTTGTCTAGAAATAGATCATACTAAAGTTAGGTAAAACATTAACACTAGTTTGAAATAAATCGGTTTGTATTTTTTAAAAAGAAATAAATACTTTTTATACCACGCCTTTACTCTTCAACTTATTTATCTCAGTTAAGACAACTTCACTTTACACCTTAGCCAACGACAAAGCAATAATAGCTAGCATTCTTGACCCTATCTTACCTATTTTCAAGACGACTTCTAAATTTGATATTTTGAGAACGGGGGGCAAAAACGAATAAAGTCATGCATTATACATTTATAGTCAGACATTGAATTAGAATACAGATAATACCTAATAATAGTTGGTAAAAAAAAAAATAGTTTTAACATATAAGGGATGGGGTTTTATTTTTTAGAACTATTATAAATTTGTCCCAACTAATATAAAAGCATGAAAAAAAAAATGTTAAATAGTCTAATATCTTTTAAGTTATTGACTAGATTTATAAGTAACCAATCATCCGGTATATTGACCAGTCAGCAGTATTCGGAAATTACTTTTTGAAATCTTGGTATCTTAGATTTTTATACAAACTTCAAAAATTAACAGTAATGATTTTAGATTTTTTACATTCCAAAAAATAAACTTCTTGTTGGGCTGAATGTAAACGAGGTATTAGAGCCTGTTGTTTAAAGTTGATGTGGTTTTTTTTTACAAAAGTTGTGTGATAAAATTGTTCGAGAACAAGTTGGTCTACAAGATACTTATAATTTACACTTACCGGGCCTTTTTCTTTGCCTGTCCTTCTCAAACAGCCCACTCCGAACGTCTGTTTTACACTTGACATAAACGTACAAATTACTATAATAAGTACAATTATCGATATGCTGAACCACTTTTGAGACATAGTTGTTTTCTCAATGTAGAAAAATATACAATAGTTTCAAATTGTGTGCTCTATAAAATTAGTTTAAACCGACACTAGCTACTACTCATTGTTTACAGTTTAGTATATGAAGCTTGAATAATAAATTATTTCGATTTCAGTAGAACAAAAAAAAATATATTATCTGGGTTCGTTCGCTGTGTACACAAGTTTGGCGATATTTGCAAGCCATGTTTCATATGTTAGATTAAACTGTAAGGATATTAGTAAAAATCTTTGTTTGATTACACATATAAGAAAAAAACTAAACATTCAAACCTAAAATAAATTGATAAATACGTATTGTGCTGATAAAAAAAACCACTGTAAGTATCGCAAAACAATATTTAAGGAGAGCGAGAGGGGAATTCTGTGTCTGAAACTAATATCGGTTTTTTATTGGTTGAGGGGTAATACAATTTTCAGATGACAGCATATGTATACATGTATAATAATGTCATCTTATTCCAATTACTTATTTTCATACATTAGATTAAATTTTATGGGTTTCAGTAAAAATCTGGTTTTATTATTGCGTTGGAACTAATGTTTGTTTAAACAAAAACACATGTTTTTCTCACATTGATGTTAATAATACCAAACCACAGACATTGTTGTGGAGATTCTTAAAAAAATCAATAAAAACACATCATTGTAAAAACACATAGCTCCGCTTCGAATCTAAAATATATTAAAAATAAAAAACTTCGAATCTAAATCGTTGTTTAGGTAATGACGTTTAGGTTAACAAACAACTTCTACTCTGTTAAACTTGGAACGAGAAAGTTTCAGTGTCTCAACTTGACGTGTACTCACACGATTACAAAAAGTATGGTAATTAATTTTTTAATTCGGAAATTTAAGTTTGAAGATAATAATATTTTAGTGACAATTGCCAGAACATTCTGCATCGGCCATGCGTACAGAAAATTGTATGTACTTAGGTAAAAATGTTGAAATTATTATTTTACATTTATAACAGCTTTCATGGCTTGTTTTTTTACCCATATAATTTAATCTAATGTATAAAAAAGGTAATTTCTCTCTTGGAATAAGATCATATTATTTATTATATTTAATGTCATCTGATAAGATCATACCCCCTTCCCATTTATACAATATTTTCCCTTATCAACACAATTGTATGACTATCGTACGATTTCTTCTTATATAGTTTTCACTCTCTCGCACACCTCCTTCATAGCAAGAAAAAAAATGGTAAGTGTCAAAAACATCTAATCGATAATAATGGGAAAAGATATTGTGTCATTCGGAATTGTAACAGCATTAAACAACGGTTTCCGTAAGACGACTTGTAAAAAACTGGCCCAGAGATCTCCTCTCAAGAACAACTAAAATTAATGTTTCTTTTTTTTTTATCACAAATTAAGTGTCTCGACTGTGTGATAACCTAATCGCGTTATTCACTGACTGTGTTTTTTTCTTTTTAACTAACTTACTTACTTATTGTGCAAATTATTGCAGATAGATTGTAAATATTTTGTCAAAAATGTAGTTTAAAAAAAAAAAACCCTTAACGGCATTCGAAGGATTGAACAGCGCGAATCATCAGTTGAGAAACTCAAATTCGAAAGTAGAACATGTAAGAACATAATATTTTAGTTTTTTCAAAAATTCCCAAAATAAAAAAAATTTGTTTACCTTAAAACTGTTGATCTTCGACAGCCACTTATGAAAACTGTGCGCCGCAGCTGGTCAGCGGCACGGCGCGGCTTGCGGCGGCGCAATAATTACACACCGGTGGCACGGACCAGACACCGCCGCCGCCGCCGCAATCAGTCGCAACGTGTTTACCGTGCCGCGCACTAGTCTGCCGTCGACTTTATGGTGTTAGTCGTTTACCGCCGTTTTTTCTTTCTCGTTTTCGCTTTAGCGTTCGATATTAAATATTTTCGTACGTTTGTTTCGATAAATATCATCGCAGCGGTTTAATATTTTCCCAATACGTACTTTGTGGGGTTTTTTTTTTTTTTAATAATTTACCGCGTTGAACGTATGGCGAATTTTCACCACACGCACACCCGCCGCCGACGCGTTGACGGACTACGTCGCCGGCTTCCGGTTTCCGGCCGTTGAGACTAAAAAACACCTGAAAAACGTTTTGCACCGCATTTGTAATTACAGCTTACCTACAATTTGCCGTTTGAACAATATCTATATATATATATATATATATATTGCTGTTAACGCACTCAGACTCGAGGTAAGTTTGTGTTATTCGTTGTTCCCCTATGATAAGACCGCGTACGACCGTGCGTCGCGTTGCCGGATAACGGCTTACCGCGATACCACGATAAGTCGCTGAGGCACTCGGACGGCCTATCGCGACACCGTGTTTTTACTCATCGCGTTATCTGCACAACATTGCTGCTACATTTGCAATTATAGTGTTTGTTCACAACACAGACCTTATAGCGTTGTTTTTTTCATTCGGAATTTAATAATCTGACAAGGGCGTGCAAAAATTTAAAAACGCGTTTCGGTGTTGAAAAAATGAAATAATTTTTGTTTTTTTTACGCCTTTTTTAACTCTTGCTCAAGTCTAAAAGTCGCGATAAAAAAAAAATGGGCAGCGATACATATCAATTATTGTTAACGCCGCCGTTAATTGCCAATCGGTTGCTTATGCGATACGCTATTTATATGTTTATACTCATTCGCTCGTTTATTGGATTGATTAGTTTTTTTTTTTTGCTCTTGGTATTTATTCGTTTACTCTTTTTTTTTACTCATTTATACAATTTATTTACACGTCAACTTGGTATTTTTACTCAATTTAATTAATACATTTATTATTTGCTCGTTTATTCGCTTTGTTTACGTGTTAACTCAAATTATTACGTTAAATCTCAATATATTATGTGTAGTAAAAAAACTATAATTTTAGTTTATTGAGTGTGATTTTTTGGCTGAGAGTCGGTTCAAAATTTTCAAAAACACTTTTCAATAAGACCAAAACGTGTCCCGTTTTTACAACCTACTTATTTACTCGTTTACTCGATTTGTTTACTCGCTCATTCAATTTATTTACTCGTTTACTCGATTTATTTACTAGACTATTCAATTTAGTCGCTAAAAAAATAAATTACACTTTAGTTGCGATAATTCCATGCAGTATTTTCTCTTTCCTCTACAGGACAAGCACTTTCGGTGTTGAAACGAATAGTGTATATTTTATTATAATAAAATTGGTTAATTTAATTGGCAAGTAGTCTGGGGCCACTAATTTTGATGTTTGAGAAATAAAATCCTATCTCATTAAACAATCCGACGTTTCGCTATTAAATTGTACCTATTTTTTTATTTTTTTTTTATTTATAAAAACTAGTCGAGATTTAAAGTTAAAGATATTTTGTTTTTTCTATCGTACCACAAACCGCTGCCCGGTTTTTCGACCTTAAGACATTAAGATAAATATATTTTATTTTTTTTATTTTTCATCTTGTTAAAGCCGCGGTTCGTTAACCTCTCGCCCCGGCTTAAACCATAAAACACTGTGTACTCAACTGATTTGTTTATTTATTATTATTTTAAACATAATTATAAAATATTTCACTACTGCTCTACTTTTCCCTACCGCCGCCGTTCCCCGGACACGTTTTATATATTTAAATAATAATTCACCGACTTTTTGCCAACCGAATAATTAATTGATTAATTAATTACAAAAAAAAAAAAGAAATGCGTAGGAACTGAGATTTAATAGTCAACATTAATATAACATGTGTGTCTAAAGTCAAAATGAAATTCGGCGCCAGAAATAATACTAAACGTCCGACATCTGGTTTGAACGGTTTCTTTATTAACAACAAGGTTAAAAAAAAAATCCAAGATAGCAATAACGAAAAGAAAAAAAACGTATTGAGGTCGTATTAATTATCTTATCACTATTATCAACGTTGGTAAACAAAAACGTTTTTATACCTACTAATCGAAGGACGTTGATTAATTAGGTAAATTTACTTACTTTGGTTTGATTAAAAATCAAAATATAATAATTCCAAACTATTTTAATAATAGCAATTATATACAATTTTTCAAACACTTCTCCAAGTTTTTTTTTTTTTTTAATATCACATTTTAACTTTTGTTTAGTCACTTTTTTTTATCTTATCACAAGTGGAAATGTTTTTTGCCATTATGTATAATCAATTGATGGTTTAAGAGAACATTTCAATTTAATTAGGTTTAATTTAAAAGAAAAGAATAGAAATAGGATAAAATAAAAATAATAGTACTATAATAACGTGTTACGACTAATGGTAATAATTATTCTTGCGTTGGTAATTACTATCGGTATGGTGTTAAACACAATATAGGTAATAACTCTAACCCGGGTACTGGTTTTAACCGGTCCTTACCCACTACAAACGGTTTGTCTATACAGATTGCCTTTTTGAAAAACTGTGCTGTAATAATACAAAACTTTTATAGTAAAATTTCATCCAAATCGGTTATAACTGTCTATACTCCGAGTGATTAATGGCTTTTGAATGTTTATCGGTTAGGAATTATTATATTATGATTAATTGTTTTGTTAATGGTTATGTACGGTACAAGACATAACGGCAAGTACCAATGTAATAATATGTCATAAAAAAATTAAAATGTATACTCATTAATGTTTTGAAGTAAATCGTTTCAAGTCGGCCACTAATATAATACTAATGGAAATAATATTATTAACATCATAAAATTCAAATTGTTTACTTGTTTAACTCTGGCACTTGCGCTGGCAATAAAAGTAACGCAATTACGGTTTTATGCAAAAAGATAATTATTAAAAACTCCTATTTCCTAGTAAGTCAATTTAAATGTAAAATATTGCATAAATAAATTAGTTGATTTGCCCGTTGTTGCAGTTTTTTTATTATTATTTGTTTCTTCGAGTTATGATTAAGTTTACTATGTTTTATGATTTATGTAACAAATAAAATGTATATGATGTCCCTGGAAAAATTATTATTAAATGCTAGAAAAATGTTTGGCGCCTAATCATAAATTATAATATGATATATTTTCATATTTTGACATTTATAGCGGTCGTAAGCCGTTGAGCTTAGATTTTTGTTTATAAGTGTTTATGTTTTTGTAAGATTTATAACTGTTAAAATTCATAAAAAATAATGTTTTGTCTCGTGTAGTTTCGGGTAATTTGATCGTGGAAATGTATATGCAAGTCAAAAGGGACGTGATTAAAGTCAAATATCATAATTATTATTTTTGAATATCGTTTGGTCTAATGTTTTTTTTTTAACGTCAACAGTGAACGAGTAAACAAGTCGACTAATTTAATACAGTAGACGAGCAAAGAATAATAGAATAAAATAGTAAATAAATCCAATAAACAAGTAAAAAACTTAAGAAAACTGGCAAATAAAGCGAATAATAAATTTAGTAAATAAATTGAACAAACAAATCGTGATAATGAGTTTATTAATTTAATAAGTGATAGTTATTAAATCTAATAAATAAATTGAGTAAATGAGTAATTAAATCTAGCTTATTATGTAATAAATTAAATGAGTTATTAAATCTAATAAATAAATCCAATAAACTAGTAAACAACTTCAGTAAACTGGCAAATAAAGCAAATAAACGAGCAAATAATAAATGTTATTAAACATATCGAGTAAATAAATGGAATAAAAGATTAATTAAATCCAATAAACGAGTAAATAAACAGAATAAAAAAGTAAATAAATCCAATAAATGAGTAAATACCTTGAGTAAACGAGTAAATAAGTCGGTGTAAGTAAAAAAACGAGACACGTTTTGATCTTATTGAAGTTTTTTTGAAAATTTTGAACTGACTCTCAGCCAAAAAAAAACACTCATTTAAAAAAAACTATAGATTTTACAGTGTACTTAATATTGTATTATGATTTAATATATACATTTTTTTTATTCCATTTCAGATCAGCTTGTATTTTTTCCTAATACAAAAATGACCAACATTGGACGAATCAGGACCGTCGTGCTCGGAAGTTCGCGCGTAGGCAAATCGGGTAAGTTTGGCTAGTATACTTATACTTGAATTTCATAAGACAATATACAGGATGATAACGGAAACCTAAATATTTATTATCTTCGCTAACGCGTTGGCAACCTTTGTATTTATCGTTTCACTCGAAACAAAACCCAAAAATCCAGTTATGATCTTCAGGCAATGTAGTGTACTTACCTAGTTTTGTAAGTTGATTTTTGTATTTTACGCATAAAAATGTAACGGATTGCCATCTTTATTTTTCAAACAAAAGAATTGTCCACTTGGATGTTTTTATATATTTTCATAATATATTACACTGTATACAGTATACCTGTATACAGTGTACCTGGATCACAGTATCAATACTGTAAACAACCTGAGATTCGCCCACATCATATTCTTTCATTATTATTACAATATTGTTTTATCTATTGTTGTGTAATTAACAATGAATTTTACACAATATTACGACGGTACGTTGTAAAAACCAATAATAATTATAAAATTCATCTAACGTTAGGTTAACATCTTTGTACATAATAATTTTTATTATATTATAGTATAGCAGATATAATACTGCACGCGGTTGGATTTAACGGGAAAAATATATATTCTGGATGGTTGTTCATACATTTTCAAAAAGTTTCCACCGTTTGGTTTTAAAATGATAACCTCGTATAATGTTTTTCCTGAATCGTATTGGAATAATAAATAATGACTAGATAATATAAGCGATTGGAGTTGTGTGGGCATTACTTGCAGGAAGTATGACTCGTTTCATAATTGTCATTATTTTAATTTCAAATGTTTATACACAACTCGTTTGGGTGTGTTTAGTAATTGTAAAAATAAATGTTATATATATATAGCTACCCAGTTACGTTTACAGTAATACCAAATTAAAAATCAAAGGCACGCTAAAAATGATCAAATAAAATAAATCGTTCTGTCCACATGTTAATCGCATAGTTTTGTAATTTAAACGGGAGATTGAAAAAAATAAATACCTAAAATTAAAATGACGAGTAATAACAATTTGATACTTAATAAACAATTCGATTTTCAAACTTATTGCAATTTTAGGTTTTACGCGTCTCGTTTTAATAGTTGATAACAATAATTATCAATTGCACGTTACCACTTACCACATTGGTAACCATACAATAACCGGACATTCGGTAAGCTGAAATCCGCGCCAAAATAAAAATATTTTAAAATGTATTCATCGGTTTTGAGGAGGGAAAAATGCGAAAATAGTGAAAAGTCTTTTGACAATACAAGTATTAATAAAGAAAACATGTTTTTTTTTTTTAAATTAATTATGTAATAGAGATTTTATTGGACAAAATTAAGATATTCAATGTGTTATCATTGATAGGGCAGATATGTGTTACTTCCTTGGGGGGGGGGGGGTTAAATTTAAGTGTAAAATGTAAGATAAAACGTCGGCACAGAGTTCATCGTTTGTTTAATGTATGTGGGGAAAAAAAACCCGAGAAATGAGTGCTCTGCGACCAATTAAATGTAATTATTTGCGCGGTATCGATTAAACTCGAGTGCAAAGACACTTGGCTTCTTTCGAATGGAAAATAAATACTTCTAAAGCGGTCGGCTCGGACAATACCGATGTTATTGCACTCGCTATTTGTGTGTGTGTTGTGTTCTACTTGGAGTAGAATTTGTGGAAAACAAATTTTTTTATTTTTATTTGTTGCCCTTTTCATCACACCGGTAACAACTGGGTGGAGTTCGCATAAGTCGGTTCACGCAATGAATACAATTTCCATTTTCCATCGAGTATGCTGAAGCCGATCTGTCGTTATTATTTTCAAACGACAAAAAAAACTTTTCTCGGTATTTTCTTATTATTTTCCTATAGGGTATCGCCGAAAGAAAAGAAAAACCCGCAAAAGTTTTTCTCCACCACAACACCACGAACGACTCAGGACGGTTCAGTACACTCTGAAAACTATGGTTGAACTGAAAATATATTTTTTTTTTTAGAAATGTGTAACATGAAAGAAAAAAACACATATTTTATTCATTTAAAAGTAACTCTTATTTTAAAGAAAAAATATATTACATTAGACGTTGTAAAGAATGTTAATAGTATTTTAATAAATTGTAAAAGGTAAACCGGTTGGGTCTGCTATTTAGATTTTTTTTTGCTCTCTATTATTGTGATTTATTTGTTTTTCTCCAATTACTCAGAGTGGACATTTTAATTGAACACCTTAAATATCCATAAAAAAAAATAAAAAAACCTAATTATTAATATTTTTTGTCAGTCTAGTTACAACACAGCTCTCTTGTTGTATCTATCACTATTAAAATTTTTATTTTCCTATTCTGTGGTGCTACACAATATTATTGATATGCTACTGAAGACATCTTAGGAAATGCGAGATTATGAACTTGCACGCTTAACGATTATTATCGAAGAGGTGGATAACGGTCAAGTCAATTGATGCGCTTGTCTGAGTTGATGGCAATTAAATAGAAATGAACAAGCAGAAGAGGCGTGTGTGAAGTCAAACGTGCAATATTATATTGATGCCGTTTTCCACGGCTGTAAAGTTCATGTTACAGACATTTTCCCAATGAAATAAAAAAAATTTGTAAGATATAAAAAAATGTCCAATAAAATTCTTATTGTGTATAATGGTAAAAAATTGTGTTTAATATATAGACAAACAAAATGTACATCATTTCAAATGGTAGTTTTTAAGGGTAAGAACTCAACAAATATATTTATCTAAAACTGGTTATAAACAAGTCATTATTTTGATTTCCATAAGCAAATCTAATAAACATGTAGCTATTAGACTTTTTAAAGTCATCCCATGGTACTCTTTAATATAATATTTTCTACTTAAATATAATATAGTTAGTTTATACTTAGAAATGACTACACCTATTGTAGGTCATATTTGGTGCACAGTATGTTAACATAATGAGTTCATTGTGTTTAGATTGGCTCTAGTTTTAGATATACACACAGCATACTGCAAAGTTACATTTAATAAACATTTAATAGGTCATCCGTCAAAATTCAGTGTTTCCAATCAAAGAGTACTATTTATGTATTATATATGTTAATGTATACTATATTAATGTATTGTAAGGCTTGAGTGCTATTAAACTCAATAAACAGTATAATAATATATTATGTTTTGTCTAAAGTGTGTAAGACAACAAAATGTATGTTAACACCGTTAACCTGTGTGTCGACTTAAGTATTCTTTTATATAGCCCATGCGACTTACACAATGTCTAAATGTAAATGCACTTGACACGGTATATACTCTGTGCTGACCGTGCAAACCGCGTGCCAGCTAAATGAAAACTATGCGTGTACTATATGTGTATGAGTTATTGTTAAAAAGTAGTATTTATATTATTTAAATGTTTTTTTCTTCCTGGAAAGGCCAATCACTCGATATTTATCACCGACTTGTCCGGCGAGATAAATCGAGAATAGTATTTTTTTTTTCTCAAGACCAAAAAATATTCACAAATGGATACACCGGAAGACAATAGTGATACAGTGAAAAATCGCATCCAGCAGTTTGTTTTCTTATAATAAAATATAATTTTCACATACAATGCGGTCGACCTATTCTACCTAAAGGTTTTTTGGAACAAGGAAAAGTACCTATTTTCGGTTGAAATATTTATTAGTGTGATTTTTTTTAATTTTCTGACAACGATTAATAATCGCTCAGTGGTGGTCTGTGTTTATTAAGACTTTCGTTTTTTTTTTCTCCAAACGATAACACTATCGGATTACATTTGTTCAGCTTCGATGCAAAGCAGAGATGCTATTTTTTTTAATATATATATAACAAATTACAACAGCTGTTGTGTACCGCAACTACTGGTGTTTTTTTTTTATACGGATTTATCACGTTTCGTTTATTTTTGAGCAAAACCTGTTATGGTAGGTAAAATTTAATATTATAATGTGTGATGTCCGGTTGACATTTTCCAATAAAAAAAAAAAATAACAATTTTCGAATCAATTTGTCGGCGTCTCGTCTCGTTAGCCGGTTGTAAATAATACACACAATATATTGTGGCAAAAGAAATCACAGGTTAGAGGTTAGGTTAAAAAAAAAACTCTTGGATGCCAATATGTAAACGGTAGAAACATAAAAAACATTGTAAAAGTTAAAATATGTGCACATATTTTTAAATAGCATAATATCTAAAAAATATTCCTAACAAATTTGGAACTAATTTGTCAATTTGTAAAATAATCATAGTGCGCCATAATTATAATGTTTGACCTTATTTTAGGTACAATTCCTGATCTACAGGGTGATTCGCATGGGATAAGGAATTTTGTAGTTTTCCTTTTTGGCAACATTTTGTTAATGTTATTTTACAATATAAGACGGTATTAAAATTGCTGTATTTCTTTATTAGTTTTGTTTTCAGAGCTGTACCGACTTGTCAAGCTTAAACGGTAACATAAGTGTTGAGTTAACTTTTTAAATTAAGAATAACTTGCTGACAATGTCGACTGATTCCACCATTGTGCCGCTGTAAGCACTAAACAAATTACCGCCTTATAACATAAATATTTTCTAAGTCTAAAAAATGTTATTAAAGTATACAAACGTAAATGTTTCCTTTATTACTAAACGGTTTAATGATGTAAAATAAAATTATACAGCTGTTATAAAAACGGTACATACATTTCATAAGAAAAACTTATAAAATATGATATAAATCACAATGATAATTAAATCGACTATTGGTTCATTAATTTCATTTGAAAAACTTTCTGAGGAAATAACGTTTTGAATAAGAGTGATGTCCGTAGTATAAGTATCACCGAGTTTGGACAACTAGCGAACGTTTCTCGTGTAGTGTCAACTTAATTTATAATAATATTTAGTTTGTATAAAAAAAAAACTATTTTTGGGGTTTTTTGCACTAAGTTATTTAGTTTATTATTTTGTTCTCCCGCGATTCTTTTATACTGATACCCACTCAGACGTGATCGGCCGTCAC